CCAAAGCAGGTCACCGGGCTGTGCTTCATTGTAGCAAATTACAGAAGTGCAGCCTGTCTGGTACCTGTAGGAGAGAGAACAATCCTGATGTACATGCCTTTCAGGCCAAATGAATTGTATGTGAAAGAATAGAGAATAGATTAGGCGCTCAGTGCAGTCTTGTTAAGCGTGAACCCATTCCCTTTAGTCTCTGCGCACTCACCCCGAAGCCCCTTGCGGGAGGGGCCCTACCACTCCTCCGGTCACTCCTGCTCAGCTTTGGTCACTGGGCCCTGATCACCAAACATCAGCTAAAAGAACCTGTGTTCTCTTTCTAGAAACTGAAGTAGGAAAGGCCAAACTTGTGAAAGCCATAAATCAGGGGACAATGATATACTCTCCTGCACGTTTCCTTAAACAGCAACCTCCTGAGAACACATACAATATAACTTTAGGTATAGATATTTTATTTACTCGCAACTTTTCAGGAATATGCTGTATTTTATGTAAAGCTGGGCATCTGTTCATTTAAATCCTAGATTCCATAGTTTGGTGGCTTGCCATATTCACTATAAATATATTGTTTCTTCCCTTAAGTTCCAAAATTGCTTCCCTGAAGTAAACAGGAAAAACTTGGGAGAAGTAATCAGTACCTAAAATTATTTTTGTTTTCTTCCTGTTCCAGTTAGTGGCTATTAACAGCGAGATTCCCTTGAGTGCTTCTGTCCCAGGTGCCCATTTTCGCAGCCCCGGGAGCATGAAAGACGTCATTCTGATTACTCACAGGAGTCACTAGCCTTGATGAGTGCTCCAGTTACATCAGCTCACTGCAGAATGTCCAGCGCTCTGGGATTCCTGGGGCAGCCTATAATTCACTCAAAAGCTGGAAATGTCTCTGCACCTCTGCAGAGCCAGGCCCCAGGCTTCCTGGAATGTCCCACCTTCCTGCCTCTCTTTGTGCCTCAGAGCAGAATGATAACATCACGCTTTAAACACATCACACCAGCTGTGAAGGGCAGTGCCTCAGAGGGCATCATTCAGTCCCCGGGCTTTGGCTCCTTCTCAAGGAGAGAAGATTGAGCCAGACCCAGCTGTGGGATACAGAGAGCTCCTTGGCACCTAAGTTACTACCCCAGTCATCCATCCAGGGCTGTCAGGAAAGGAGAGCAGCAGGCACTCAGGGAGCCTCACTTCCACACCCCTCTCAGACTTCCCACGCCAGACCCAGCTGTGGGATACAGAGAGCTCCTTGGCACCTAAGTTACTACCCCAGTCATCCGTCTAGGGCTGTCAGGAAAGGAGAGCAGCAGGCACTCAGGGAGCCTCACTTCCACACCCCTCTCAGACTTCCCACACTGGACAAGGTCAGACAGATACTAAGATTCACATGACTACAGGGATTTACAATGTGCAGCAGTTTTGCAAACTTGCCTTATATGATCCTCACAGTCACTCCGTAATGATGAAGGCATTGTCCCCATTTTACTGATGAGAAAACTAAGGCACAGAGAGGTGAAGTGACTTGCCCCAAATTGCAAACCAAAAGGGGCCATGTTTCTAGGATCCAAGAGACCTGTGAGTGAATCTCTCCTCTGCTTTCACATCGCTACCTCTTAATCTCACTTTTAAAATGATGACACCCCTGATAGTGTTGCATGAGCATTATGGTAACGTACATAAAGGGCCTGCCAGCGTCTCTGGAACAGAGATACTCAAAAAAGCTTATTGAATGAATGAATGGATGTTGCCCTTTTGTGACTTGTTTTCCATTTCAGGCTGCCCTTAATCTCATTCTCATTGAATATTGGCCCTTGCAAGGAACATGGAAAACCTTTAGCCCCAACTGTGCATCACCAATGACCCTTTTATTTTGTCCCCACTTTTATTTGACCCATATAAGATTTTCCAGCTACCATGCTTTATTTATGACTGCCTTCACCAATAAAGGACACATATAACTGTTAATCATGACTCCTGACAAACATGCACATTGACATATTATAATTCTAGTTAAAATGCTAATTTATAATTAGATGTTAACATTTAGCAAGCACTTACTATGAGCCGGGTACCTCACCGGACATCTTGCCAACACTTAAACCTAGGCAATCTGACTCACTCTTAACCACTACACTAAATCAGCAACATTAAGAGCTATAGCTTATTGAGTGTTTACTGCATGCTGGCAGACACTGTAATGCACGCTTTAAATACACATTATCTTATTTAATTTTTATAACGAAAGTATGAAGCAGGTGGTATGATTTCCTCCATTCTACACACAAGGAACTACAGCTTGAGGAAGGAAAGTAACTTCCATAGCCATGTAGCTAGTGTGGCAAAGTTAGCTTTAAGCCCAGATGCTGTGGTTGCAAAGTGTGTACATTTAACCCCTAGTCTATGCAACGTTCCCTTGCAGCCTCCTCACAGGTCAGTGCTTTGTGATATTGGAAATTGCTTGAAAAATTCCCATTCCAGCCTCTGGGACTCCTGTGTGTCTGAGGTCTCAGGGTGGGATTAAGCAGGTCTAGGTAGGTATAGTGCTTTGTGATATTGGAAATTGCTTGAAAAATTCCCATTCCAGCCTCTGGGACTCCTGTGGGTCTGAGGTCTCAGGGTGGGATTAAGCAGGTCTAGGTAGGTATACCTCCAGAGGCACCTAGATATTCTTCCTGAAGGCACTAAGCAAGAGTGCAGAGGGGTGAGTGTCTGCATTCCTCGGCTGATCAGAACCTCCTGGAAACAGATAAGAACCAACCCCATCACTACTAGAGAAAATAGTGTCCCCTGAGTGAAAAGTTGTTGAATCTGAAAATAGGTTGCTGAGGGTATTGAAGAGGTTTTCCTCCCCAAGAGCACTGTTATCTTCTTTCTGTGTGGTCCAGATGCAGTTCTGCCAGGAAATGGGTGGATGGGCGAGAGACACCCACCCCTAGGATCCTGCTGGGACCTGCACTCCATTTATTTATCAGCCTAATCCCTCGCCCTGTACATTTTACTTCCTCATACATACATCAAAGACAATTATTCGATTAATGCTCCCGATGCACATCTCTGTTTGGTGCACTCCACTCCACACCCCTCGCTGTTTGTCAGGAACTAGACCCCCGAGAGAACAGGCAGTCTGGGTCAGTGAAAACAGCAATGGACTCAGGATCCTGGTTCAAGCAGGTCCTGCTGCTTATGAGCTGTGTGACCTTGGACAAGTCACTTCACCTCTATGGACTTCAGCGCCCTAGTTTTTAAAATGAGATCTTTGGACCAGACATCTCAAAATCCTCATCCTTTGGAGATCATTTGTAGCTACAGTTTAGATAATAGATGAGAAAGCACTTTAAGAAATGGTAGAAAGCTCTTAATACATTTCAAAAGGTGTTATTTTTGCAGTGTGATCTCTACAGAGCATGAAATTATACATTTGAAGAAAAGAGGAAAGGGTCTATTGAAGTTTTAGTAGCTGAAGTTTAAATGTAAAAACGTTCATTTTAAGTGTCCCGAATCCCTCTCCTTCTTATCTCCAACAAAGAGGGACTATTTTAATGTACCAGATAATTTCAGTAATCACACTTTTCCTGTGTTTAGGATTAACCACACCAGAGCTTTGCTGAGGTCTAAAATAGTAAATGGACCTTATTCCTTAATATGACAGCTTTTATCTAAGGATCTTACTGAGCCTCTATCTGGGCTCAGGGCATAGAGGGAATGTTGACAACCAGAGTAGCTTGGGGTAGGGACATTTCCAGAACAGGGCCAAGTTAAGAGCAACAAGAGACAAGGAATGAGTCATGGCATTAGGTAGTGTGTGTTAAGTGACTTCTCCAGGGTCACTCAGTGAGTCATCAGTGAGCCTGGAGCTGGGACCTCCTTCTTCCAGCTTGAAAGAATTGGCCTGCTTGTTAGTACAGGGGAGGACAAATAAGTTTCTCTCTACCCTTCATAGTCCTTAGTAGGGATAGACCCCTGTAACGAAAGACAAATTAACCAGAGAAAAATAAACAGAAATTTAAAACATGTACAACTCATATGTACATGGGAGATACCCAGGGAATGAGTAACTCTCAAAGAGGTGTGGGCATTTCAGAAGCAAAAGGAGCCTCTCCCTTGGGTACACTGTACAAAAAAGGAAGAGGAAGAAGTGGCACAAACCGCCTGCCATCTTCTGCACCACTAACCCCCCCCCACACACACACCCTCACACAGGTGCACATAGTCTTCCGCCCCTGATCCAGGGGCAGAAGACTCAAAAAAGGAAGAGGAAGAAGTGGCACAAACCGCCTGCCATCTTCTGCACCACTAACCCCCCCACACACACACACCCTCACACAGGTGCACATAGTCTTCCGCCCCTGATCCAGGGGCAGAAGACTTCGATTCACATACTTTAGATCTAAACTTTAGGACTTCTAAGTCAAGCTAATACACGGTTAAATAAAATACGTTTGATCATCCGACCTTTACAAATATACCTTCATGATGGTCTGGAAGGCCAAGTTTCGATTTCCAATTCTCAGACTCCATTGGTACGGAGAAAACTGGCTCACGGTTGGCACCCCTCTCCCCATCCTCAGTTCCATCCTGCACTGTGGGGCCTCATGCACATGTGTCTGCACATCCCCACCCACATGTCCAAGTTCCAGTCGCAGCCCCAGGTTTAGGGGTCCAGCCACTGCAGTGTGGTCTGTACTCAGGAGAAGAGAGCTGGAGAAGAGGCCCATAGGGTCCCTGAATGCAGCCTTGGGACATTCAGTCAGGGAATTCTGGGGTCCTGGGTACCTGGTCTAGAGGGAGGAAGGGAGGGTGCAGACTAGAGCACAGCCTCCGGGTGGGCACACCCCTTGGTGTGGAGAGGAGCAATGGCAGGAGGGCCAGAGCAGGACCCTCTAAACTGTTGGGGCTTTGGGCAGAGATCCCTCTCACTCAGGTCAATGGGAAAAATTAAGTGATGCAGTACACCGTGCTTGTTTGTGGTCTTTGCTCCTAGTCTGACTGCCTGGTTTCTCTGTGTGTACATGTTTTGTTTCTTCTAGTGGGCTGTTTATCACCATTCATGACAAGGGGCACCTTGCAACAATGCTGAACTCTTGGCCAGAAGACAACATTAAGGTATGATCCTGTTTTCATCTCTATTGCTCTATGGTTGGGTTAATCCTTTCAGCCTGCACCAGAGTCATTTCCACCTATAAAATGAGCCATTATGACACTAAAGGCAACAGACCCAGACCCTAGACCTGTTATAGCCAAGCACAAATGCACCACAGAGAAAAGGTTTGCATTAACCAGGCACCCATGTGAAATTGCCCTTTATTATTATTCATATTACTGCTGTTATTATTAGTCTGAAGATATGTTCAACATATACTGAGTACCTGCTAATATATTGCCAGTTTCCATGATGGATACAGGGAGAAATCAGATGTAGATCTTCTCAAGTAGCTGGCACACACGTTGTGAGGAAAATAAGACAGAGACACAAAAGACTAACAAGGTGGAACTTGATCAGAGATAAATGAGGGACACAGACAGAGTTGAGGGTGTTCAATGAGGCAGAGCTGACTTTTAGCCTGGGGAATCTGAGATGACTTCATGGGGGAAGTGATGCTGGAGCTGGGCCTTGAATTGAGGGATAGAGTTTGGACAGTTAGGTGTTGGACAGACTAGGATGTAGAGTGAGGACATTCTGCATCAAGAGAAAAAGGAGAAAAAGCTTATTATGAACAATATCTTCACACTTGGGTATGTGTACCCTGGGTGTACACGGCAGGGGGGAGGGGCAGTATATACGCAGAGTGACAACATAAACCTAGCACTTCTTCCTCGAGTATCAATTTTATGTGAAATTTAGGGGAAAAACATTTTTATATAAAAAATAGAATAAAATATATGATACAGAAGTTGTATTAACTTATAAAATATAAAAATGCAATTTTGTAGAAATGCATTAGCTTCTGGCTGAATCCCCAGGTCTCCTGTCATAGGGACTTCTACGGAAGAGTGTGAGGGGCTCCGGCATCTAAGATCATTGCCACTTCTGGAAACAAAATGGGTGAAGCAAAAACGCAGAACATCTGCTGGCTGCTTGGTGAGAGCACTTTTGGCCCGTGAGCTGGGGAGAGCATTGGGGCTGACCAAGCACAGTATAAGTAACTCCCAGGGCCAATGCTCACACCACCCTGCCTCGACTGGGAGGCTGTGACTCCGCCACAGTTTCCTCCCCAGGGCCTCCCTGCCTCCTTCCCTGACAGTTCCCTGAGCACCCCCATCCCCATCCACCAGACGTCACATACAGCTTCTTCCTACCTAGCTCCCTTGTGCTCTACCCACTTCCGGCCCTCTCTGAGGAGTGTTAGCATTCAGACCAGAACATGAGGGAGGACCTTGGCTCTCAGGAGCTAGGCCTGAGCCACAGCCAAGGCCCTTGGACTTCAGTCCTGGCCACAGTGAATAGCTCATTCCGTACATCTCTGCCTGGGTGTGATTTTGCCCTGTGCTTCTCCTTCCTGTTTATCTGCTTAGACTCAATTCATGTGCAGGCTATGGCCCTGCAGGTTTTGGTGCCAGTTCCAGAGGAATAAGTTTCCGGGGCATGTCTAGGATGAATCTGTAATAAAATCTGGAGGACATTAAGGGAAGCCAGCTCACTTGATGGGGAGTTAACCCAGGCTAACCTGAGTGGACATGAATCTCTACCACATTCCTGGACAGTTCAAGCATGGGGAAACCTCATACATAGTAGGCACTCAGTAGATGCTTGCTGAGTTGAATGAACTCAGTCAACAGACATGTTGAGCATCTTCTGTGAACCAAGAGTACTGTGCCCGAAAGAGAGAAATGGGGTCTCCACTAACCCATACAGTGCCTTTGTGCAAATTACAAGGCATTAGAAAAACTGAGGACAAGGTCCCCCACATTAACCAGTAAGGAAAGGCACCCCTTCCTCCAGGCTGGCACAGGGACTCGGTAAGGGGCTTGTGGGCTGGAATTCTGGTTTCAATTGCTCCTCTTGTCAGGGCACAACTTACACAACTGTACCCAGGGCCCTGTAGCAAGGGATGCACGATGAGAAAAATATGGACCCTGCCCCCAAATTGCTTCATATTGTGGTTGAGAAACCAAGATATAAATTCAAAGTAGAACCTTAGGAGCTAACTATCCATTGACTTCAATAAACATATTTTGAGAACTTTGTAAATACTGAGTGCTAATTAACAGAGCGATGGAGACAGTAACTGTCGTGATTTTAGAAGAAGAGAAATGGGGGCTTTGAGGTCACTCTGGAAGAGGTGGGACTCAAGCAGATGCCAAATAAAGAGAGACGTCCAGAGCCTCTCGGGAGAGTATATGTTACACGTGCAGATCTGGGCCAGTGGCATCTAATTCAGTTGCATTCAATAACATTTAGTAAACATCTACTCTGTAAGAGTTCCCTGGGGGGTTCAGGGATAAAGGAGGTGTCTAGGCCCAAACTCAAGGACCTTGCAGCCTGGCTTGAGACACTGACCCAGAAACAAGGACAGCATGCTGTGTCTGTGCTGAGAAAGAGAGGAGCTCAGAGGACAAGGAGCAGACAGGCGACTGGCTGCTGCCCACCCTGAGGTACCCTGTGGTGGACAGGTGAACGCCTGAGCCACCTCCACCCTTTATTCCTGTCTCACTTTGGAAAAACTCAGAAGTCAGTCCCAGTGACTATGTAGAGGAATCACAGACCTGGGTTCTGATCTTAAATCTTCCACGTACCTGCTTTGTGTGCAGACAATCTCTCTGAGCTTTGCTTTGCTACTGAGAGGATTAACCATGATAAAGTCTGTACACATGGAAGGGCATTTGAGCGGACATTGTCATTACTGAGGTGGCAGAGGCAGCTGTAGCACACACAGCTGTGCAGGGCCCAAGGACAGCCATGGAGGGGCCCCTTACCTGGGAATCACAGGCCACAAATGGGCAGTCAGACAATTTGGCCACTAGACATATTTGATTTGACCCTCAGTGGTTTATCAAAATTTCGAAATCATAGGCAACATTTTAAAATCAGGAGACTTCATTTAAAATAAACAAGTAAATATCAAAACACTTGGATTTCTGGCTTCTCTGGAACAACCTAGAGCTCTGAATACTGGGCCTACAGTTTGACATGTGAACAAGTCAAGTGGGGCTGATTGGACTGCCCTGGCTCACCCCAGCCCTACCCTGCCCCACTCACCAGCCTTTTTCTGGAAGTTCCCCTTCTCCCACCCCCAGGGTGCCCTTTCAAGGCTTCTGAAACCCCCAAGGTGGCTCTCTGAGATTGGTAGAGTGACTTTTTCAGATGAGCAAGCCAAAGCTAAGTGACTTGCCTGAGGTCACCTAAAGATAACTGTTATGCCCAACCCAGCTTCCTGCTGCTGAGTCACCTCTCCGCCAGCTGCTGAGCAGGGACACAGAGTTCCAGGGCACAGTATCTTGGGACCCTGATGTTGCTGGCTGCTTGGCTGGAGAGGAGGGGTGGTTAAGAGGAGCTTCTGAATCAACTTGGAAGGTGAAAATGACTGACTGTGGTTTCCCAGCTAGAAAGCAGAGCTGCAAACTGAGATGTGAGAGAAGTAGGCCACGAGGGAGATGAGGCTAAAGCCCAGGGCTGGGGAGACCATGAAGTGTTTTGGGCTCTTCTTGTTCAGGGAGAAGGGGGCAGGGCCCAGAGCTGCCCAGCATAAATGACAAAGAGTGAGAACTGCTTTTCTGACTCTTTCCCACAGTGGCCATTGCTGGAGCCGGGAAGACGGCTCAGCTGAGAATAGCCCTTCTTTCCAGCAGTTTTCCCAAGCTCCTAAATCTCTCGCTCACTCCACTTCTAGCAGCTCAGGGGAGGAGCTGTTGAGAGGCAGCTGGGTAGTGGAGCCAAGGGAGCATTCTCTGCCACTGGACACCTGCCACTTAGGGATTTAAACTTGGACCAGATCGCCAGTGCCAAGTGCTACCTATCGTGCACAGGCCCACCTGTGTTAACCGTCACACTGTGCTCAGTGTCGAAGGTTGGATTTCCTGGGAAATGGTCTCAGATGGAAATTAGCATATTAGGGAGAGCTCCTGGGTCAACACTGTGGACGGGAAGGAAGCAGGACAGAGCAGAGGGAGAGGCTGGGCTGCAGTGAGGTCTCAAGGGAGACTCATATGAGTCCATGAGGAGGCTCTGGAGCTGGACAGCCCTTCAAAGTCATCCCATGTTGGGGGAGGGGAGCAGGCCTTTATCCTCCTGCATGGAGGAGTCACTGTTGTGGGCTGCCCTTGTAAGGGGGTGTGGCTTTGGGCAAAGATGTACACACGGTGCCACAGGCAGCCCATGACCATAGCTACAAGTCCAAGGTACCATGAACCTCAGGTCAGTCTCGGGTCAGTCGCATGGGTCCACCTAAGCTAAGGGGCATGGGCAATAACTCAGAAAAGGCCGTAGGTCTGAGTTAGGCAGGCAAAGGAAGAACATGGCGCACCATCCCCCAAGTCTCCCCCTAGTCATCTGAAAGACAAAAGAGTTATGATCTATAAAACTCTTCCATATAAGGCAAATGTGATCCTGTCATTCCAGAAAATTATTGCTAGGCTTTAAAACCCAAGGATGCTGCTCGGTTTTGCCCTCGGCCTTTTGACAATCTACTGAACTCCCAGCGTTAGCTCCATTAATGTCAAATAGGAGGCAGCATCTTTTCTTTGAACTTGTTAATCTACAGCAGGTCTTAACTCTGTTCAGTGCAGAAGACACTCTAGGCTGTATGTTGGATCTATCACATTGTCCAACATTTATTGAGTATGTATCACATCGCAGGCACCAAACTAAGTGCTGGGGGATCAAAGATGACACCACCCAATACTTGTCCCTAAGGAGCTTAGAGCTACTGTAAATGACAAGGGAATGTATAACTGTGATACAAGGAAGCGAGTGATAGGCGCTGTAAGTGAGGAAAATGTTATGGGGATTCAGAGAAGGGAGTGATAACTTCCAGAAGGGAGGCTTCGTGGAGGGCAGGGCCATTTGAATTGTTCAGTGAAATGTTAGGATAATAGGTTTTTTATCAAGGAGATATAGGGATTGAGGATGTATTCATGAAAGTACATACACATGTCAAATGGCATGTATTCAAGAAAGTACAAACCTTCTACAAAATTGAAAGTATTTTAATTTGGATGGAGCATAGAAAGAATGAAGGGGAAATTCAAATGGCCAGTTAGTCCATGGAAGGCCTTAAAAGCCAGTCTAGATGTTTGAGCTTTACTTTATAGGCATGAGGAGCCATTGGAGATTTGGAGGCAAAAAAGTGATACATCTGGATGTGTTGTATCAGACCGTATCAAGGAGCCTATATTTAAATACTGGTTATCAGACTCCAAAACCCCTGCCATTAACCTCTACAAAACGTGCATTTTAAAAAGTGTTATATAAGAATCCAAATGCTATCACCATCAAATGTTGAAGTAGCATCTACACGGGCGTTGGCACTCAGTAGGTATGAATAACTGTTTGTGGAAGGCAGGCTGGCAGGCAGAGTGTGTGGTAGATATAACACGTCCCGGCAGTTCCAGGGAAGGAGAAATCACATTAGATTGTAATGGGCAGGATTTGCAGTGCTGGAGAACGGGGAGAAGGACCTTCCAGGAGAGAGGAATATAGAGGCTGAGAGGGAGAGATTGGAGGGGAGCTCAGAGTGTCTGGGGGGAGGCAGGAGGCCAGTTTGGCCACAGGAGGCGATTGTGAACAGATGTGCAGCAGGAGATCAGTTTCAGAAGGTATGATGGAATGAATCTGATATTGGTTGGCAGGTGTATTAGTCCATTTTCTGTGCTTATAACAGAATACCTGAAACTGGGTACTTTATTAAAAAATGAAATTTATTTCTTACTTTTGGAGCCTGGGAAGTCCATGGTCCAGGGGGGCGCATCTGGTGAGGGCCGCCTTCTTGGTGGAGGTCTGTGCAGAGTCCCACGGCAATGCAGGGTGTCACATGGCGAAGATGGCATCAGCTAGCGAGTTAACCTGCTCACTTGCTCTCCTTGTAAAGCCATCAGAACCACTCCCTGATAATCCATTAAACCATTAACCTCATGTTCCAGTCACCTCTAAAAGATCCCACCTTTTAAATACCATAATCAGATTTCTCATCCTCTTAACACCGATACAACTGGGGGTCAAGTTTCCAATACATGAATTTTGGGGGACACATTCAACCCCTAGCAGCACTCTGGAAGGAAGATGAGAGGCAGTCTGGTTGTGCAACTGCTCCAGTGACCTGACCAGGAGCACAGTGGGAGTGAGAAGGGACAATAGGCAGAGGAGACACATCCCTCAGAGGAGCTGAGCACACAGTGGCGTGCCTGTGGACATTCCTCAGCTGGGAGCAGCACTGCAGAGCCACGTCACCACCCTAGGGTTGTGGGAATAACACCTTGGAGTAGCTGATTTCCTGTACATAACTTTGTGTCACTCACTGTCCCCTCATCAGAGAGAAGGATTGGGGGAGAATGGGAACTAGAATAAGGAAGCTTTGATTAGGAGTGACAGTACAGAGATGCCCAGAGTGTGGGCACCCAGGCTGCCAGGAGGAGAGAGATTGCTGCCAGGAGGAGCTCAGATGCAGGCTGCACAGAGGGGCCACCACAGAAGAGCAGGGCTGTGCCAAGAATACAGGTGCTTTAGCCAAGCCAAGTGGGGTGGTGCAAGGAGCCCTGAACCAGGAAACCAACTCCTAATTGGAATCCCGCCATGCCTCATGCACAAGTAGGTGACCTTGGTAAGTCATCTAATCTTTCTGAGATAACTGATGTGGAAACATCTAGCCCAGTGCCTGGCATGTGGCAGATACTTAATGAATATGTGGAGAACATGAAAGTCTTGAGCTTCAGTTTGCTCACCTGTGAAACAGGGATAACGATCTCAGACCTGCTTCCCTGCCCGGGCTACAGGGAGGACCAGATGAGATGCAAGGTGTGAGCACTCTCTGCTGACAGTAGACCAATCCCAGGGGAGTGTCATGATTTCAACAGGTCTGCTGCACTCTCCAGAGACTGCTTTCCAGAAGCAGAGGACTGTTTTTAAGAATCTCTTTCCAGCAAAAGGCAGCACCAGCCCATGTGTACCCTCACCACTGGAAAGAGAGAATAGAAGTGAGAAGGTACCATGGGCCTTTTGGGTACCAGATCATAGGCTCCACCCTGGACCTTAACATCCTTTTGCATCCAGTGCCTTCTCCCCACCCACACCCCCACAGTCTTCACCTGCCCGAGGTATGGCATGTGTGTCCCCTCATCCATGAAGGGTTACCCTAGAGGAAGTAACTCTCCCATCTCTTAATCTCTGCTGCCCTCTGTGCTGTTCTGCTGCACTCAGACTTCCCTTCCAAAGCCACACTTGTTAATATACTTGTTCCATCTCTCCTTTGGCACATTAGTTCTTTAAGGGCCGGGTCCACACCCTTAATACTTGTGTTCATAGACGAGCAAACGGAAGCTCCATGTCTAGTACACAGTAGGTCCTCGGAGATTCTTTGACAAATGCAAAAGGTAATCCCAGTACAGCTTGAGAATCTTCTTGATTTCACAAGAAAGAGTGATCCTAGGAGAGGTCGCAAGGAGCTCTGTTCTTTGCAAATTGGATTTATCATATCCCAGGAGCAGGCCAGAGAGCGCTTACATTGGTCTCTGTATTTGTCTGTTTCTGTTGCTTGTAACAGACATACCTGAAACTGGGTAATTTATAAAGAAACAATATTTATTGCTTACAGTTTCAGAGGCTGGGAAGTCCGGAGTCCAGGGAACATATCTGGTCCTTGTTGGTGGTGACAGTGACACAGGGGTCTCACATGGCAGAACAGAGAGGGAGCTCCTCGTGTGCTCTCCTTTTAAAGCCCTCAGAACCACACCTGCAATCACCATTACACCATCACATGGATTAATCCATTCATGATGGCATGGTCCTCACAATGTAATCACCTCTTCAAGGTCCTACCTTTCAACTACCACAGTAGGATTTCTCATCTGCAACAGTGTCACAGTGGGGACCAAACTTCAATGACATTGGGGGGACATTCAATCTATGGCACTCTCTAAGCCCTGGAGCCATGGCAGCAGCATGAACACTTACTTTTCATTTTCTCCTTTCCTTGTGTCCTTCCCTCCCTGCCAAGCAACAGTGTCACAGTGGGGACCAAACTTCAATGACATTGGGGGGACATTCAATCTATGGCAGTCTCTAAGCCCTGGAGCCATGGCAGCAGCATGAACACTTACTTTTCATTTTCTCCTTTCCTTGTGTCCTTCCCTCCCTGCCAGGCCCCCAAGTCTCCAGCTGAGAGTGTCTGTTTAGCTTACTTGAGGGAGAGTAACTGATGTGGTTTCCCTCCAGCTGTGTCTGCAGCCCCCAGCCCCACCCTCAGAATGCAGGGCAGGTATCCTTCTGTCATCTCTCCTCAGTGGGGTTCTCACCATCCTGCCAGAAAGGACCAGCCACGAGTAACTGATGTGGTTTCCCTCCAGCTGTGTCTGCAGCCCCCAGCCCCACCCTCAGAATGCGGGGCAGGTATCCTTCTGTCATCTCTCCTCAGTGGGGTTCTCACCATCCTGCCAGAAAGGACCAGCCAACTGCAGGCAAATGAGTCCTTTGGCCTTATCCCAGACAAGCTGTTTCATCCCTAGCAAAGTTGGTGGGCATCCAGTTGTCACCCCTGTCGTGCTAGGGCTGGTCACATGAGCTCTGTCACAGGAGGCTATGTTTTTCAGGCTGTGGTGGTGACTGATGGGGAACGCATACTGGGCCTGGGAGACCTGGGCTGCTACGGCATGGGCATCCCCGTGGGCAAGCTGGCCCTGTACACGGCGTGCGGAGGGGTGAACCCGCAGCAGTGCCTCCCTGTGCTGCTGGACGTTGGCACCAACAACGAGGTAACAAGCTGCCTGGGCCAGGAGCTCTGGGGCCAGAGGGGGCCAGAACGTGGACGGGATGGGGAGCACTTCTGTGGGGCAGTTATATCCACATGGCAATGGGCCATTTCTTTTCTGGTGTCCCCTTGACCCTGGCTCCCTCTGCACAGCTGTGAAATGGACAACCTTCCTCCTCCCTGGTTGCCCACCCACAACCCCCATTCTCTTCTCCCTCCCATTGCTGGGTCCCCTTGCTCCTCTACTTCTGGGAGGCCATCTGTGCCCACAACGACCCCTGCTTGGGCTTCCTTTCCTATTTTACCTTCATAACGTCACCTGGCTTCCATTTCCCTGAGGGCACTCTCTGACCTACTGGTGACGAGAGCACCTAACTGAGGTGGGAGTGACTGCCAGGCTGTGTTTTTTAGCATTTGTGAGGTGAGCTGCATCAGTGGAAGGATTAAAACTCAAAGCACCAGGGCCAGGGGCTGAAATATCTAAATCCAGCAGATAGTGTCCTGCAAACTTAATGAGAGAAACTGAGCCAAGCTCTGGGTGAGACTGACCTGCAGAATTCCAGGTGGTTTGGGATTGCAAGAGTTCAAATCCCAGCCAAGAGTTTGTCTGGACATTGTTTGTGCCTGTCTGTGATCCCCAGCTCTGTGTCTTTGTGTCAGAAAACATGAAAATATACCCGCGAATTCCTTATTAGTGGCATTCATCTTTGAGTTTAAGATCAGTACATGTTCATCTTTTAAAAATTGAGAAGAGCCAGAGAAGTGTTAAGAATGAATAAAATATCAGTGTTATTTATTGTTTATATATTGGTATATTTCCTTCCAGCATTTTTCCCCAAAGCATTTATAAAATCAAAATTGAGTTCATACTGCATATACACTTTTGCAGTCTGCTTTTTCAAACTTCATATCTGTCATGAGTTTTCTCCCAGGTGACCACTCTTCCACAATGTCATTTTAACAGCTTCTTGGCATATTCTAATTTACACACCAAAAAACCCCACAGTTAGACACTTAGGTTGTTTCTAGTCTTTTTGCAAATATAAATTGTGCTCTGATAACCAGTTTTGCAGGTCAGTCTTTGTCCCCATCTCTGATAATTTTCTTAGGATAAATTCCTAGAAACGAAAATGTTGAAGCAAAAGGAATGGTCATTCTTTAGATTCTTGATTCACATAGTCAAAAAAATAATTCACATTGTTTATATTCTGCAGTGAACTCTCTCAAGAAAATTTGCCAAGACTCTTTGCACAGGCTTCCTCTTCCCTAGACACCATCCGTCCCCATTTCTGAACAAGAGTGAGCACTGTCGCTCCTAGTAAGGAATGATGCTATTCTGGCTTCATCCACAAATACTATGAAATGAAGGAACACTGGGCAGTCCTTGCTTAAAAGCTAGGAAGCAATGGGGGTGGGTGAGATGAGGGAGTGGGAGAAGTACCTGACTGGGGAGCGGGACCATGGTCCCAGTACCACTGACCAGTCAGGTCAGTCACTGCGCCTCTTTGGACTTGACCCCCTTCCAGTGCAATGAGGGACTGGACCAGAAGGTTGCTGAGTGTCTTTCCACTTCTAAAAGCTCTTCCTCTCTGTATGCCTCCTCACCAGCCCAGGGGACAGGAGGCTGGATTGTGGGGCAAGCCCTACAGCTGCTCATCAAGACCAGTCTTCAAGTTTGCTCTGCACGGTGGTTTCTTTCCCCCAGCCAGATGTCTGGGGTTCCACAGGCAGCTATTCAGTTGTCCTTCAGCCTCAAGAAGTGCATCTTTGCACGTGTGGATGAGCAGAGCAAGCTTCGTTTTAGTCATTCTTCCCATCCAACACCTCCTGCTGTGTCCCAGCTGGACTTCATTGAGACCTTCCCTCCCTCTCCTAAAAGCTAGCCCTCAGCAAGAAGTGGAACAGCTTGAGTCTGATTCTGAGGCCACCGCATCCCCTGGAAGGGTGTTGGTTGCATCTAGCAGGAGCATTAGGATCCTTTGTTGTTAAAGGTTCAGCACCCAGCAATGATGTGCTGAAGTTTAGGGCTGGCCCCAACTTGTAACAAACCCACCAGAAAAGGTGGCAGGAAACTAGTGGTAATCAAGGGCCAGGCCCTTTTTTCAGACCACCCAGTTTAAGCCTCACAGTAACCCTGTGAGTGGATCATGTGTCATTATCCTCTTTTTACAGTTGAGGAAACTGAGCCCCGAGAGTTTAATTTGTCCGGGAAGATCTGCTAGAAGTGGCGAGGCTGGGATCCTAATCTGAGCCCGTGCTGCCCTCCACACACCACGCCCTGCCTGGGCTTCTGCGCTTTATAAATAAAAGATCACTTCTTGATTTTTAGAATTCTTATTACTAAAGTAACTTTGGAACATTATTTAAAATTTTAAAGGAAAACAGAAGTGGTATTTCTCCCACAATGCTACATCTGGGTTCCCTTCTAATATCAAATTAATGTGTATACAAAGAAGTAGTTAGGACCTAGTTGTAACCAAAATGTGCCCATAATTTTGTTCTAATTTTTTCAGTCAAGAAAAATTGAAACATTTTGTGAACACTTTCTCTTTACTTATTTAATAAAAGTTTATTGAGTGTTTAGTAGGTGTCAGGCACTCTACTAGGCATAAGGGAGATGAACGAGAGCCAGGCCTGCGTGGAATATTCTAGATGTCAGTGTTTCAACACTGTCACCTAATTGATCATTTTAATAGGTTATATGTTACATCTGCTCAAATGTCTGCTTCCTACCCTGGGGCTTTAAGCCTCTAGAATCACATCTCCCTCCTGAGTGTGAAAGGGAGAGAGCTGCCTCTGGGCCCACTCCCTCTTGTCAGGAAGGGACGAGAGTGCCCCCCCAACACACACACACTGAGGCTGAGAAAGCAGCCTCATGGGGGTGAGAGAAAGCAGCTCTCACCCAGTCCAGTAAGAAAAATACCAGCAGCCACTTATCCAGCACCTGCAATGTGCCAGCATAATTCTAGGCCTTTATATATTTCATCTCTTTAAATTTGCACAACAGCTGTATGTTCTCCCCATTTTACAGATGAGAAAACTGAGACTCAAACATGTCAACTACTACCTCAGGTCCAACAGCTCTAAGTATCAGAGTCGGGATTTGAACCCAGCCCTCTCTGGCTCCAGAGCTGCCTTGCTCTCCGAGGCACAGTGATCCAAGGAGCAGGTGTTTCGTTATAGACTGGGAAATGAAGACTGAGAAGTGGTGTGTCATGCAGGTGGGATCCCACGAACACTCAGATTCAGGTCAGACTGCACAGTGCTATTTACACTGTCCTCCCCTCCAAAGGAAGCTGAGCCCCCTTCAGACCCACTTCAAGAAACTCAGGACAGAAAAAGTCAAAGTTACAAAGTGACCAATATTAGGAAGATGGTGATTTATGTCTTTCCAATCAGAGGTACTCTGTGATCTCCTGCACTATGGTTCTTGTTTAAAAATGAATCCGTTTGCAAGATTTTACCCCCTGAAGTCTTAGGGCACATCTTTTGCTCAGAGCAAGCACGAGCTACAGGAGAGGGAGGCTCAGCCTTGCAATGTTTATCTCATGTGTCAGTGCAGGGAGGGTGCTGTTGTGAGGGTTTTCAGTGTCAGAATAACTAGACCATCTGTGTGTATGTCTCTATGAAAACTCCTGAGGCAACAGGAGCTTTAATCACAGTCAGAGAAAACACCCCTCCAGGTTTCCTGTTGAAGGAAAACAACTGCTGTCTGCAGCCCTGAAACTCTAGGTCACTCTCACCTGCCACCACCAAGGAGGTGTGGAAAAATAAATGGGTGGGCAGCAATCCCATGCAGAAGTGTCTTCCCATGGTTCAGTTCCACGGGGGCAGGGGAAGGGAGCCCCTCCCACTTTAGGAGAGCGCACATCTGACATTCCACCCAGGCCATGTGTGGATTGGTTTGTGTATTTCATTTCATCCACATGCAGCCAGTCACAGACTTTCCCAGTTAAAAGGGACCTGAATACTATCTCGTTCAACCCCCTCGTTTTATTTACATGGGAGAAGAGGCCCAGAGCAGAAGTGGCTTCCCCAGGGACTGACACCAAGCCCCGTGCTCATCCGCTGTGCTAAGGCTGTGGGATACCCCAAGGGGCTTGGGCTTAAAGTGGAGGCCCAGAGCAGAAGTGGCTTCCCCAGGGACTGACACCAAGCCCCGTGCTCATCCGCTGTGGGGTACCCCAAGGGGCTTGGGCTTAAAGTGACCCTTCTGAGCCTGGGAGATCATCTTGTGGAAGAATTCTTGAGCCTCTATGACCCACCTCCCAGTGAGATGCTGTGTGCGTCTCTGGAACTGACCCACAGGCAGAGGGAGGGGAGGCATGCCGCTGGGGAGACAACCAGGGAGCAGATTGTCAGCAGAGCCTGGTAAGCGCTGCCTTCGGGAGGTATTGGATTGCTGAGTAAGCCTGGGGTCACAGGCAGCCAAGGTGGGTGTTGCAGGGCTTCTTGTACCTTGTAAAAGTATCGTTACTGTGGCTAGTAAATATTCAGCACTCACCACGTGGTGCCAACAAACTGAGTGTTGGCTCTCAGTGCCAGGTGACCCATGAGGATGCCCTTCCTAGCATCTTGGCAGCTTACCCCTGGGCTTAACTGAGCTTCCCAAGAAATAAGTGGCAGGCATGACTGCCCCCCGAGGGGGGAAGGGCCCTATGCCCACAGCATGAACCTGATCCCATGCCCTCCCAGACCCCCAGATGCTCTGATACATCTTAGCATTCCTGTTGCGAGGCAAGATAAATATTTTTTCAACCAGGAGGTTGAATCCAACTTAAATCCAATACTCAGTGATATGGCCAGTGAAGAGGAGGAAACTATTTTGTTTTCCATGACGTTTTGTGTGCAAGGAACACCTTAGGAAGGCAAAGCTAGACAAACGGCATGTTGAATCTCTCACTCCTACAGCAGAAGAGAAAGTTCTGGTTCACCTGCTTTGGATAAATGCCTTCACCTAAAATTATAATCATTGACTTATTCAGTTTCAAAGAGAAGTTAGTAACTAACAGAGGAGAAAGATTTAGTCATTCATTTAATATTTATGCTCCAGGCACCCTACTGGGCACCAGGACTCAGAGGCAAATAAGCTCAGTCCCCAGCCTGGTCTAGAAACCATGGTTCCTGCCCTGTTGCTCCCAATAATGTGTTTTGTGACTTTGGTCAGCTCATTTAACTTTCTTAAACCTCAAAAACTCATTTGGAGGCGGCTGGACCAAGAGATTTCTAAGACCCTCTTACTTCTTAATTCGGCATCTCCTCAGTCCAGTCCCAGGACTCGCGCAACTTGTATCAGTAAACACTTTTTAAGGGCTTGCCGTGTGCCAGCACTGTACACATCTCCACGGAGATGTAGATGAGTGAGGGGCAGACCCCTTCCTCAAAGAGCTGACATTGTGAGATAGAGATAATTATTATCCCTATTGGACTGAGAAGAAAAATGAAGTGAAGTTAAATACCTTGCAAAGGTCACAGAGCTAGTTAAGTGACAGAGCCCGAGTTCAAACCCAGGTCCATTCAGTTCCAAAGCCCAGAGCCCTTCGGGCCATACTGAAGGTGCTGAGAGGGGAGCATCCTGACCACCAGGCCCAGCAGTGTCATCTTCTCGGCAGTACATCACCTCCCAACTGTAAGATTCCTTCTGCCTCTATTAATAAGGTTACCAGATTTAGCCAATAAAAATACAGGACACCAGTTAGATTTAAATTTCAGATAAACAATCATTTTTTAAGATAAGTATGTACTTACACTTGGGACATACTTATACTAATTTTTTTTTTAATTATTGCCTATCTGAAATTCAAATTTTACTGGACTTCCTGTGTTTTATCTGGCAATACTACGTACTGAAACTTCTAAACACTTAGAAGAGGAAGCAAAGACTGCAGGAAGGCTGCGAGAAGGGGTCCAGGCCAGTTTACAGTTGATACTCCCACACCTTGCTGGCGGCATTCTTGTATCTGAGTTGGTTGGTGGGACACAGGGCAGAATGTGGCCTTCTGGTTCTGGGTCATGCCACATCAGCCACGGGTGAAGCTCCCACGGCTGTTTTACATAAGCCATTTTCACTCCTGCCAAAGGAGATCCAGCTGGCTGAGATGTGGACACAGCCTTTCCCCTAGCTCCATTCTGGCTTTCCCTGCTCCCCTGACTGGTCTGCAGGATGCAAGCCTGGACCTCCCCAACTACAACTGAGCTCTGCCAGGAGAAGGGTAAGGAACTGCCCCCTAGTTCCCTGGTCTCCACAACATCAAGTGATAGAGCAGAAAGGATGCTGTCATGAAACCCAGCCAAGCAAGTCTTAATCTCAGTTTGTACCCATTTTCTGGCTCTGTGAGCTCAGGCAGTTTATTAAAACCCTTGAATTCCAGCTTCCTCATCTGTAACATGGGATGCGAGTAGGCCAGAAGGTTCAAATGATTGAATTACTTGAAAGCTCTATACAAACATAAGAAGCTATTTTTTTAGTGTCATCTGC